CGGCGGGCGGGCTGCGGGGCAGGAGGTGGCCCTGCTCTGGGGAGGTCCGCCTTCGGAGCAGCTCACGGAGTCGGCTGGCTCCGGGCTCCCGGAGCTCGGTGGGCCCGCGGCGTCGGCTGGACTCGGTGCTGATGTGGGAGCCGGGAAGCCCACGGCCCGGACTCCCCAGGCTCTAGCCGCCCCGGGAGGATCCGCTCTGGGTGCGGGGGCGCGAGGCTCAGCGAGCACCGCTCCAGCCCCGCTCCAGCCTGGGCTCCGCGCGCAACACCGTCCGGCTAACAAGTCCCAGGCACCTAGGGCTGCAAAAGGAAAACACAGAACAAAACCAAAAATTCAAAAAGAAAGAAAAAGAAAGGTTCCACATGACTCTGCCAGCCGCTTTGGGAAATCAGAATAAATGCCGCCAAAGCACCATTTTAAAGGGGGGAGGGGATGGAGGGTACAAAGTTCTGCCCCCGCGGGTCAAGCTCCGGCTGCGAGGGGCTGCGGGCCACGCGGCCCTCGGTCTGCTCGCGGGTCCGCGGCCTCAGCGCGGACGCTGCCTCCCGGCTCCACGGCCGGGGAAAGGGCCCGGCATCGCAGGGACGGAGCCGCCCGAGCTCACCCACGCGGGCTGGGCCCTGCTAACTCCCCCAGATCGTTTTAACTGGTTAATAAAGCCATTGACACTCAACAAAACCGCCGTCGCCACGGGAGTCCTTGGCAATAAAGTGAGAATCACAACTACCGGTTTGTTGTCGTTAACTGCCTTTATTACCATTACTTAGTATTCCTAAAAAAAGAAAGAAAGAAAGAACAGAACAAGGAACAGGGCTGAAGAAGAGATAATCCTTTCAGACCCAAAGGCACATAAAGGAGATCCCTTCCCTTTTTCTCTGAAACCAGAGCCCCGGTTTTTCTGGATTCGCCCTCAGTGAGCCACCACCAATGACACTGGGAGAGAGACACAGAAGCTCTGAGCATGGCGTTCGGGGTGGAGTATAAATGGTTAATGGCGACTCCCTTAAAACGCATAAAATTTTATCTGACTCTTGGCCTTGATTTAAGGTACGGATGCTTTATACGTGCTCTATCTACAGGATTAGACGACACAGAAAGAGTGAAAATAAGGAGAATGAGATATATTCTATACCTGTTTCCTGAGGTGAATAAAATATGTTCATTTCATTTTGACACCCTCCCCCCACGCCAAATTATGTGCGAGGGATATTAGAAAATATAAATCGTCCAGTTATGTAATTTTCCTATCGGAACACCTGACTTATGGAAACTGGCATCCCCAATTGTGATTCTGCTCTTGCAGACCGATTCCGATGCCGGCTACACACAACAATTCCCGGGAGTGAGTGCCCAAGCCAAGCCGTGGATCAGGGAAAGCTGACCAAAGCCCCTCTCGTCCCCTTCTTGGTTCACGGAGGTAGGAAAGGCGCTGTCCCACACGGTACATCATTTCCCACGGAACCAACTTAAAATCCACTTCTATCTGCCAGGGGTTGTTGGGGAGGAATTAAACCCTAAACGTGTAATGCTCCTTTGCAATTGCAATCAAAACCGATTTAGATTTTTTGAAAAGTATCTCGAGAACATATTTGTTCAGGGACCTGCATCTAGCATGAAGTTTGATGTGGAATTTTTCAATTTTAAGTAAAGCAGAGAAAGAAAGCAACAACAATAACAACAACAACAACACACACACACACACACACACACACACACACAAAATCCAGGCCTAGGAGTTCTAGGTGTATTGGCTGCATTTTGGAAGGTGCACTGGGCAGATGCCACAGAACCAAGAGGAACTTATTAAATCTTAGCTTCTCAAAGACACTGTCAAGTGTACCTGGGTGGCCTGGCAGTCACAGGAACTATATCCACAACTACTCCCATTCTTCCTTCTCTCTCCTCAGCTGGACACCTCCCACCGGGGCCTCCACGCCACTGCTGTTTTAAAGGATGTATTTCTGAACCCACCGAATATTCAAAGGTCAAAATGAGTCCCTTTTTTGACAAGAGAGGGTCTAATCCCCCCTTTGAACACAAGAGGTCGCTCCTGGGACCAAATACTGGGGGAAATATTGCTAATCACTATTTGATATATTCTATAAATACATCACAGAAATTTTTTACAGATACATTTACTGCATTAAATGCACACATCAGCGAAGGAAATGGGACTAATCTGTGATTCTATTGGAACTTCCAGGTGAAGGGAAACAATTAGTACCTGCTATCCAAACAGATTCTGATGCCAACTGTATCAGCAAGACACCACTCCAGAGCGAAACAACATAATCATCGGGTTCCCTCAAATTGCCCCCTTGGACAGGGGCAGCGTCTGCTTAATCTTCACATCCATGGGCCTGGGAACTTGCTAGCAAAATACTTGTTTACAACACCAGTGGCTGCAGCAGGCAAACACACACTGTCCTCCCTTTAGTATGACATTGCCCGGCACTAACGGTTTTCCTCCACGGGGCACGCCAGCTTCTGTGTGGAACTGCTCTCACCATCAGCAATATTCCTTGGCACCGCTCATTCGTTTAGGGGGTTACAAGGCCACACGGAGTGTGTAGCTGGTGGGAAGGAGGGCGCTTTGTGAATTTCAAACATGAACCCTCAGGCTTCTGGCAGCGTCTGTGGTTCAATTCCCCGGTATACAAGCGGCATGATGGCATATGATCGGTTAACACCCTGTTTACGTTCTGGTGCTACACTGGCATCTCTTTTATTTTCCTAGAGTCAACTTGGTTATCTACCCAGGAAACATGCCCGTGTACCGGGAAGCCAGCGTCAGTTTTGCAAAAGCAGCTGACAAAAGGCTCCATGCATAGAACAGCAGAGACTAGAAACTATCACCAAAAACCAAAACCAAAAATCTGGTAAACTGATCAACCAATTTGTGCATCGGACTTTCGATTTCTCTCTCTCTCTCTCTCTCTCTCTCTCTCTCTCTCTCTCACACACACACACACACACACACACACACACGGACAGGACTCACAATGAAAATAAAAGGGATGGGATCCAGTTAGAGATCTTTCTTGAGAGAAAAGAAAACACCACAAATGCATGTTCTTGATAAAGCCTCGGCGAGGCCAGGCGGACACTCACGCATCTTGGCTTCTCCTGAGTTCAGGCAAACCCAGCCACCGAGGCCGGCTGGCGGCTGGCGGCTCTTATCAAGGGTGAGATCTGGGAAAGATACAAAGAAAGGAGTTTCCTCACCGCCGGCCTCGTTCCGGGCAACAAGACACCAAAATTACCCCTATTCTACTGCGGCCTGAGTTTGTGGGCCTTTTCAGATAAACCTGGCAGCCACGTTAGATAAGGAATCACTATTTAGAAGCTTTAGGGGGAAGTGTAGGGGTTGGGGGGGGGGGGGCTGAGACTTTGTCTTAGGGAGCCGGAAAGATGCCAGGAACATGGAAGAATTTGCTGCAGCCAGCATTCATTCCTTTCCAGGTTGTTTTCAGAGAGAACATGAGGATATTCACGCCCAGTTAAGTGAAATCCGTATTTCAGTTTTATCTTAGACCCCTCCCTACTCTCGCCCTTGGACTAATGCATTTTAGAAATCTCTAGAGAGACATGGAAATTTGTCTTTATAATGACCGAAACGCCACCAGCTAATTGTACACGTTTACTCAAAGACAAAGGGCAGGAGACCAGCAGAGAGAGAGAGAGAAACTGGGCAGGACATAACCTCTTCACAAACTCGAAACTACTGGAAGGCCATTTCGTTTGGGGCTCGTGTGAGCGTCCTAACTCCAGAGTGAAGCTGGCACAGCAGACGCCGCGGGGCGCGAGGGGAGAGAGGAGTTCGAGGAGCCCACTGGGTTTTACCTGCGCGCCTCCCACCAGATCCTCCGCTAAGGCCGGAGCGCTCCTGCCCTTCCACCCCGCGTGTTTGGCGATCGGGGCTCGGAGGGGACGGGGTCCCGGGGGAGCAGTAGCGAACAATTGCTCTGGGTGCGTTCATCCCACCCCCGGGCCTTCTTCCCCGAGTCAGCTCCCAGCGGGCCCGGCGGAGCCAGTTGGGGAACTCACCCTCCCGGGCAGCCAGGCGCGGCCAGGCCCGGAGCTGTGCGCCCCAGTGCGAGGTCGAACCCAGCCAAACGGGCTGTCCAAGT